TTTATTAAATAAATATATTTTTTAATATTAAATAAAAAGTATTTTAGAAGTTTTAAGTCTTGAAAATAATTGAATGTGTGAGTGTATGCGTATTCATTTAGATTATATAAGCTAAACCAATATTAATGTAATAAACTGATTTTAAAACAAGTATTTGAATTAACTATTAACATATATCATTTGTTATTGATAAATAATATATTGTGATAATGATTGATATATTATTATATATCAATAAATAATATATTAACAATGATCAATTATTATTGATATGGATATTTATCAAAGATCATTAGAATTATTGATTAATATTGATATCTCAGAGAGATATTTATTGATTTTTACAGATATGGTAATAATTCTTGATAAATATCTCTTCAAAAAATTTCCTGATACATAAAAACTAATAAAATTATGGCTATCTTTTCTAATTCCTATGTAAGAAAGCAAGAATATAACATTCTTCTATATACTGTTCATATTATTCAAACATAGATCAAAAATATCTATTATAAACTAACTCTCAATAAAATGATCTAAGCAATACCAAAAAAATCAGATCAGTTATGAAGTACTTATTCAGGATGTGATAATTACATGTTTTTTACAAGTCAATATCAAGTATATTTTCTGAAATTACTTGAAGAATTTGAAAAAGTAAGTACTCTGGACATAACAGCATTCACCTTTTCTTCTTTAAGTAACTTTAACAAATTCTTTCAAGTTCTATCATAGTGAACTCAAAACAAGAACTTCTATTATACATAATATTATTGGTAGATTAATTTTTTATTTCTTTTTTTCTCTGCTTTTTTTTGATTTTTCTTCTCATTATTTGTTTTTTATTTTCTCATCATTCATTTTTTATTTTCTTTTCTTCTTATTATTCATTCTTTATTTTCTCTCCTTCTTATCATTCATTCTTTATTTTCTCCTCTTCTTATTATTCATTCTTTATTTTCATCTCTTCTCATCATTTGTTCTTTATTTTTCTCTCTTCTTATTATTCATTCTTTATTTTCATTTCTTCTTATCATTTATTCTTTATTTTCTTCTCTTTTCATCATTCATTCTTTATTTTCTTCTCTTCTCATTATTCATTCTTTATATTCATCTCTTCTCATTATTTATTCTTTATTTTTACTTCTTCTCATTGTTCATTCTTTATTTTCATCTCTTTTCATCATTCGTTCTTTATTTTTCTTCCTTCTCATCATTCATTCTTTATTTTCATCTCTTCTTATTATTCATTTTTTATTTTTCTCTCTTCTCATCATTTATTCTTTATTTTCTCCTCTTCTCATCATTCATTCTTTATTTTCCCTCCTTTTTTTCTTATTGTTTATTCTTTATTTTCTTCTTCTTTTCCTTATTTTTTACTTGCTCTTTTCTCTCTTTATCATTTTTCTTTTTTTTCTTTGATTCTTCTCTTTCATTTCTTTTCTTATTATTTTTCTTCTTTGCTTCTTTTTTATTTCTTTGATTTTTACCTGTCTCTTCTTATTTATCATTTTTTTTATTTTGATTCATTTTCATTTCTTTATCATTTTTAGATACATGTTATATAATCTTGAAACTTGATAAAAAGAAGGAAATAATAGCAAAAGAAGTCATTATTAATTTTCATACAAAAATAATATTTATTATGACAGATTAAAATAAAATCAAATTAAAATAAAATTTTCTCTATTTTAATATGAAAATTTTATATTTTTTTTGGGATAATTTTCTAGATTTTTTTTTCAGAGATATTAAAAGAGGATTTAAAAAGATCTTAATTTCATTTTAATTTGATTTCATTTTAATCTGTCACATCTATTGCTAATATAGATCTAGCAATTCTTGCTGAGATTCACAAATTTATCTTTTCAATTCAGAAGCTCATCACAAAAGAGATATATACAATCTTAAAATGATTACAAGAAGGAAAAGATATATCAAATCTCTTGATTACAGAGTATAATTATAAATTCTTCAATCATTATCTTCTGCTCTGTTATCATATTTTTCATGTGTAACTCTGTAGTAATGCTGATATTTTGATATCAGAAATATGGAAAAGTTTTCAAGAAACTTTTAAGAAAAGTGACTTGAAGATATACCAGTCTTGTGATTTAATGGAAATACTCCAATCTCAATCAGAAATGGAAACAGCTGTAAAAAAAAATTATTTAATAATAAACAAATTATTTGAAAGAGCAAGAGATTGATATTATTATTTGACAGATCAGGATAATATAGAAAAAGTGACAAGATTTATTGAAAATTTAGAAAAGACTTTGATATCTGTTCTTTAGTAAGAAATATTTTATTATAATACAAAAAAAATAATAATTTTAATTCTCCCTCTTATTTTTATACTTGTACATGTTTTTAAGAATATTTAATATACAATAAAATTCCTATATTTATGTGAAATTTTTAAGCAAATAATAAAATTTTAAGCAATAATTAATTATAAGAAGACTACAGAGATTATATTCAGAGCTTATTTTAGCGATGAATTGATAATCAAATTTTATATTGTTAAATTAAAGAAGTTATTAATAAGTGATTTTGTTAATTTATTAATCAAATGATAAGATCATGTGAATCATGTGCTGCTGATCAAATATGGTATAATGTGGCTAAACTAGCTAAACGGCTTTTAACGAATCTCACAAAGTATCATAAATCAACTTTTTTATCTAATCTAAATTTTAGATCAAAATTTTTGAAAATTGAAATAAAATCACGTGATTGTTAAGTATAGAGTTCCAGCACCATATCTCTACAGAATGATCTAGTACCCTAGCCATGGCAAAAAAAAGGTGTTGGGTCATATAATTTCTGAAGATCACTAATTCATTACTTACATCCGAGATTTCTGAAAGAATAGATTTTGCTGTAGCCAATCAAACAGAACTATTAATATAGCTAGTAGTTATTATTATAAGCTTTAATTGCTTGCGTTAAATGACCATTTGAAGATTTTACATTATTTATATATTGGATGAAACTTATCTCTGTGTGTTGTGTATGGGTTTCCAAGATCTTGTTGGATTTGGGTAATTTTTTGGATATGTTTTTTTTGTTTTTTTTTTAAGTTGTTGAGTTCTTATTTTTCTTGCTGTAAGTTTTCAAGTTTAATGTTAGTGGATTTATTGGCATCAGCTTTTTCTTGGTCTTTGCATTCTCTTTCGAGTTGTTCTTCAAAGATTTTGCGGGTGTTGACAAGAGTGCATTTTTCAACTAGATTGAGGGTTTTGTCAATTACAACGAGGTGAGTTTGGATTTCTTGGTAGATTTTTGATAGCTAATCAAATTATAAAATATTGAGACTATTAATGCATTTATAGTAAAGGATTATTTACGCAAAGGATTGTTTACAAGTGTAATATTTAATTTATTAAATTTTTTAATTTGTAAGTTAAAATACATTTTTAACATATATAAAAAACTAGAAGGAACCATCTGTAGATTAAAAGAAATTATAATTAAAAATAAATCACTAAATTTAAAAGAAGTTATATTAAAAAAAACCTTATCGAATAATAGATGGCAATGAAAAGCAACTTTATAATAAATCATTAATATAATGTAACTAAACGTATTAAAAAAACTACACTGAATTCTTACTATATGATAAGTGGAAATAAATGACAACTTGCAAATTTAAATGGTTGTTAGCCCAAATTAATATAAATGCTTTAGATAAAGTATTATTAGCCTAAATTAAAACAAACATTGATTAAATTATACTAGAAACTTATCAAGTGATAGGCAGCGATAAAGAACCACTTTTGGATTTAAATTATTTGTTAGTCAAATAAATCATGTAATTATCGTAATATGCAGAATAAAGTGCAGTTAAAGTTATCAAATGTTTGTATTTATAAATCGAATAAACATCTTGACAAGAAATAAAATCTAAAATTTAATCCATAAATAATTATCAAGATATTTATTTAATTTATAAATACAAACATTTGACAACTTTAGATGTTTTACACCAAATATCAAAGGTTCTTCGATCCATGTAATATAATTACACTATGTCTATTTTAATGTATTAAAATTAAATTATGATACTAATAATTAAAAAAATCTTATTAGATAAGGATTTATATTATAATAGATATTTAAATCGACATCACGTAGATCTTTGCCAAAAAGACTAGAAGAGTCACAGGAGTTTAAAGGGATTTTTTTAAAGGGAGTGGTCCCATTATAGATAACTTAAAGATAAGAACGCATAATATTATCCTTAAATACGTATCATAAAACTTAAAAAAATGAATAATTCATGTAAGATGTTATTTCCTAATTATTAATAAAATTACTTGATGTAAGTAAAATAAATAAAGATGTACCTTACCTCTTCTGATAGCTTCTGTCCAAGTCTTTCGAATAAAAATGTGTATTGGTTGCCATTCCATGAAGAAAATTATAGACTTTATTTGCAACCATGCAAATTATCAGCAATATGAATATGATACCTGTAATCAGTACTATAAGAGGCGCAAAAATAAAAGGCAAAAAATAGATCCAGTATCAAGAAAAAAGGCAAGAATTTTGGAAATCATCCCTAAAGAGATAATCCAGAGCAATGATCCTTCAAGTAGTAATCCTCTGAGTAATAATCTTTCAAGTAATGGCAATGGTAACAGTAGCAATCCTTCAAGCAGCAGTAGTATTCCTTCAAGCAGTAGCAGTAATCCTTCAGGCAGCAGCAATTCCTCAAATACCACTCATATTTTCCAGATCAACAATAACTCAGATGATCTTGAGCTATTCCTTGAGCGTGACAGAAGCTTTGAACAAATAAATAACTCATAAGCGGAAGACGGTGTAGTCAATACTCAAAATAACCACTTTGATAATGATAATACTGGATTACTCTATAATTTAGATGAAATAGAAGGATATATTAGTACAAAGTTTCAAGAATTAGAAAATGAAAATAAACCTATAAAAGAGGTTTTTGAAATTGAATTAGATCCAATTTTTGCTGAATGTATTTCTTGTGATCTTCAATTAGATATGATAGATTTAGAAAAAATCAAGGACAATTTCTGTTAATTTGCAAAGATTATTATTATAGCTATCGAATCTGGTTCCCATTATTACTGGAAAATACGTAATGTACATCTAAATTATAGTAAAAAGAAATTCACTAGTTGCGCAATAATATATCTTAGATATGCACAACGAGAGAATTATCAGTGGTAAAGATCAGAGGATTAGCCAGTTAAACGAAAAAGTGAAGCTCGAGTTCCAATCAATAGGTATGCGTGTGAAGGAAAAATCTCACTTACAATTGATTCTTAATAACATTGCGTCCTAGTCCAAGTACAGTATCTAATATAACATCCACATTCACAATATTGAAAAATACAGTTTCCTATAAAAGCGAGAAAGTGGATAAAGGAAAATATTGTGTATAATTTGCGAAGTCATGAACTTTACCGACATCTTTGCAATGAAAGGCATATTGATCTGGCGATGTATATGAAAGAGCAAGTTTATTACTGGACATCCGTCTTTAGCAAGGAAATTTATATTATAAATTCAGCTAATCAGATCTTATCAATAAAGATATATCTCGAACAATCCGAATTCATAACAAGAGGATTTAAAATAATATATTATCTTGAAAATAACTTCGTGAGAGCCCTTGGATTTATAACACCATTGCTCGATCATATTGGTGTTAAAAATATGAATGAGATCATTGTAGATTTTACATTCAAAATGAACCAAGAATGTTTTGAGCTTTTTGTTATCAATGCTAATTGTGGCGGATATGGCATACCGTTAGCATATCTCTATCTTTTAACATCTGATGGCACTGATCAAGCATGTCATGATTCCAAGAATGAAGTTAATATGAGGTCACAAGCTCTTTATAAGTTTTTTCTTAGCCTTCGGCGAATAGAATTGTTGCCAATATTTGCTCTCGTTGATAAGAATGCTAGAGAAATCTCAGCTATCGGTGAAGCATGGTCATGAGTCACCAATATTCAGTTGTGTTATTGGCATCTCGAACATATCATAAACAGACAGTTGAAGGACAGAAAATCAAAAGCAAATGCATATTCTATAGTGAAAGCTATAGAGGCTCACCAACAGTTTGAGTTTATCGACCCTCACTGGATACCAAATAGAAATGATAGAATTCTGTATCCAGACAGTTCTATTAAAGAACTTTTAAAAATGATAAAAAAATATGCAAATATGCATCCACTTATACCTATAGCACAGGATATTTTCTGGACTTCTGCCAAAATTTATCATAATTGCGTAAAGAAGGTTTACCAATTCTGCCATGTCCATAATCTTTCCAAACTTTGGGGTTATCTGTGGATTAATTGGTACAACAAGAAAGATTGGAAGCTTTTTACCCAATCTGCATATCTAGTTGCCATATCACTAGCACAAACTATCATGATTACGGAAAGTCATTGGTGGGTTCTTAAATATAATTACAAGTATAACTATAACAGACCACATCTTAACCATCTTACCCAAATCATTGCAACACAATTAATCCCTGATTTTAAGATCAAAATAAACCAGTTTGATGGTAATTGATCTTTTTCAGTATGGTGAGAAGGTTTTAAAAAAGATTGGAATAAACTAGCAATCACCAAAATCCAACTGGACATAGATAAAACTTATCACATTGATGTAAAAAACTGGATATGCTCTTGTCCTGCATACTTATGTAGTCATTATCTTATTTGTAAACACCTCGTAACAAAAAAAGATGGTGTTTATTTCCGGCCTACTTTCACAGAGACAACATGCTAATATGATTACCCTTTGCTTGTCTTTGGGAAAGATAAGATGTCAACAATAAATTCAATAAATAATACTTGGGTTACATACAGAATGACCATGACAGATGTTCCTATTGGTGAAGGCAGCTCTAATATTAATAACTCAATAGTAAAGCATGATATTATTGAGGAAAGATGGAAAAGCTTTCTGAGTATAAAAAAATAATGGATAATACATTAGAATTATATGAATGAGAGATCGATAATAGCAAATTTGTAGATATTTTTGATGACTTGATGAAACCATTGGTGAAGGAAGTTAATGAGTACCAGGAAGTACTACAAGCTCATAGTCAACAGAAAACCTGAAAGTCAAATAGAAAGCTTGTATTTTGGTTACGTTAGTTTATAGTAAAACATATAATTAAATATAATAACTATCCTTATTATCAAATTCATTATTCTAGATATATACTCTGAAAGATATACTCCATATAGAATCCAATATAATTCTTGTAACGTGAAAAATAATTATAATATATCTTACTTACAAGCTAATCAAGAAATCCAAATCCACCTCACTGACAAAACTCTCAACCTAGTCAAAAAATGCACTCTTGTCAATGCCCGCAAAATCTTTGAAGAACAACTCGAAAGAGAATGCAAAGACCAAGAAAAAGCTGATGCCAATAAATCCACTAAC